ATTGTTTTCGTAACTCCTCAATGAATACGTATAAAAAATACAAAAAAAATTCGTAACTTTATAGAACTTATATAAAACTACAATAGTATGATTTTTTTTGCTTTTGGATGATTTGTACTGTAGGGAATCATTAATTGCTAAAAATGGAAATGTTTACATGATTTTTTCCGCGCTTTTATACAGTATTAATAATCAATAACATGCTTTCCTCTGGATTCATTAGTATATGTGATATTTTTAAATCTTTCACACATCATACGGTAAATAACCAAAAAGATTATAGTATTTCATTTATGTTTGATAGTGTTTGATAATATGACATCACTTGATCACTTTCAGATTATGCGAATCAGATAGCGATAGAAATATGCGATTGTTAAGTAAAATTACCGAACCCATCAATATCTCCCGAAAATCTCTGACAACCATGCTTGTGTTTCGTGTTTATTGACTAATATCCCGAAATGTCCTGATATTACTCTATCTTTAACGCTGGCCATTCTATGCACAGATTATGCTCTATTAATTATTGATATATTGCATATGCTTCTGCGATAAAATCAGATTTATACGCAGATTATGCTATCGCAGATCGGCAGTAGCATCTCGGCCGATTGGGTTTACTAATTACTGATTTATCTCCTTTATCCTCCGGCAATGTTCCGCATTTCTGTGGAAAATTTTTCGTTTTTGGCAATTTTGGTGGCTCGTTTTTATCCTCTAATCACTTTTTAGCGGTCAATATGTCCGCAATGTCGTTATCGTTAGAAGATGAAATAAAGAAGTAAGCAAAGAAAAGAAAAAGGCTGGTCGCCCATCCAAGATTAAAGGTTATGACTTATCTTTTTTAAAAGCCTGTCGCACTATCTACAATAAAATGAATTGCTGAAGTTTTCTCTGAAAAGATAAAGCAACCAGTTAGTGCTTCAACTGTCTGTCGTTCATACAAAAAGTATGGTATTTCTCGCCTAAAGCCAACCTATCACTATTCTGAGCAACAAGCACTCTTAGGCAAGATTAAACCATTAGTAGATACCATTAGGATTTTGCTACCAGAACAAGTTTTAGCCGAAGATGAATATGATTTTTAGTTAAATTTGTTAAATTTTATTTTTTTTCCTTCACTATCTAGCTATATTTTTTTGTGCTAAACCTATTGCTATGTCTAATATATCTAATCCTATCACAGATAGAGCTTTTTTTTTTATCTATCGCTATGTACTGGTACAATTTTTCGATATTAACCTTATTTCTCAAGTCTGCTGATAAGATGATCGATTGAATACAGTATTAATTTTAGAGTTGGAGCATAGAAAAAATTGCACTTTTTTCATCCTATATCATTGCGCTCTATATGGTTTGGTGGACTTATAATACACATGATATGATTTATTATTAAAACAGGTTTACATTTTGCGATACTCAAATAATAAAAAAATCTGTTAGTGTAAGAATAAAAGATTTTGATCTATGAAAAATGTGAATACCGGTAATTAATTATTGTCGCGGCTGATTCTGAAATTAGTTGATGTTGAAAATATAAACCCTACTAAAATCTACATATACCCTTTAATTTATATTTACTAGAATTAAAGAAAATTAAATAGTATATAAATATTAATAAACTTAAATAGCTCATTTAACACGAATTTTCTTCATACTCATTTCTTTATTTAACAGATTCTTTTATATTTACCCGAATTAATATGAATAGAAAAAAATTAAATAATGAACTTAAATAGCTTGTTTCAAAACTTAGATTAATAAATTTTCTTCATAATCCCCAATCACTATATCAAATCGAAACTATTGGGCTGCACCAGTAGAAATTAAGCAGTTGACATTTTAAAAGAA